AATTTATTCCTGCATGCTTTTGAAGCTACTTGACTGTCAAGTTTCTTTGTAGTCATCTTGAGTTTTTAAACATCCATGAAAAGACTGAAGTTATCCTCTAGGAATGTGCTGTGAACATCATCATGTGTTACGAATAGTACAACTCTATGAAAATTCAATATACATTCTTTCAATCAGTTGTATTTCTAAAGCATATGTTGATTACTTCTCAAAGGTTAACAGAGCTGCAGATGGAAATGTTACCAAATTTTGGTGCATAAGGTATCTCTAGTTAAAGTTTCATTGATATAAATTGAGGGTTTGGTTACTGTTAATTTTGACATTTGACATTTCATATGTTTGAAACTGGTAATAAAAGATTGTATCCAGAGTAAATACATGTGTACTGTAGTGAACTGTATGTAGTGGGTGCTTTGGAAGGGCTCACCTGTGATAAATATCCAGCACTCCACGTTGTTTGCTTTGTAAGATCTTTTTTTGTAGTTTCTGTGGAAAAGTTTTGAGAAAAACCAAGTAGTCTCAGGATTAATACCTAGTATATTGGGATTTGGTAAATACAATTACAGAATAAACTAGGTTGGCAAAGACCTTGGAGATCATCAAGCCCAGCCTATGACCTAACACCACCTTATCAACTAAACTGAGTGCCAAATCCAGTCTTCAAATACCTCCAGGGACAGCAACTCCACCTGGGCAGCCCATTGCAGAACCTGACTGTGTTCTTTTTGTATCATCCCTTCAGGTATTTATATACATTGATAAGATCCCCCTGAGCCTTCTCTTCTCCAGACTTTACAGTCCCAGCTCTCTCAGTCTCTCTTTATGTGAAGGATGATGCAGACCCATCATCATCTTTGTGTCCCTTGGTTGGTTTCTCTCCAGTATGTCCATGTGGTTTTTCATACTGGGGAGCCCAAAATTGGGCACAGTACTCCAGGAATGGCCCTAACAATGCTGAGTGGAGGGGTAAGATCCCCTCATGTGATCTGGGGGCATTTTTTAGCCTAATGCAGTCCAGGATTGTTGGCCTCATGATCAGCTTCTTGTCCACTGAGACACACTGCTACCTTTTGGGTGTGGCAGTTCAGCCAATTTTCGGTCCACATCACTTTCAGCTTCTCCTGACCACACTTAGGCAGCTTCTCCATTAGGATTTTAGAGGAGTGCCAACCAGCAGTAACTAAAATACCCATGAGTTACCAATACCTTTTCTAGCACAAATCCAAATTATGGGCCCCTACTGTGAAAAACTTCACTCTGTCCCAAGAAAAACCAGCACAATTACCTTCCCAGGTACTGAGTTGGGACTGCCTAGCCTGTAGCTCCTTATGGTTTCTTGTCATTTCTTGAAGACAGGGATGACATTTACGACCTCCAGTTCTCAGACACTTCTCCAGGTCACTGTGATCAGCCCACAGGTATTGAGCTGTCACAATTACATCTGCCAGCTCCCTCAGCACTTGTGGGCTCATCCTGTCAGGCATCATAGACTTAATTAGGCCCAGCTTGCTTAAGCATTTCCTGACACGATCCTCTTTCCCTAAGCTGTCCTTTTTCCAGACCCTTGCAATGTGCAGGTCAGTCTCCTACCTACAGGAAGAAGGAAAACTCTCCTAGTGTAGTTTTTTCATACATATCTATATGTAACATGAAATGTACTACAATAAAGAACTACATAAATACTGATTTATTTTTAAATGCATGAGCTATATAAAGTTGTGTTGAGTGTTATAGCTGGCTTCAGTATCAGTAGCCATTGATGACGGCTGGCAACCCTTTCCAAATTAATATTTTGTTCTTTATGGACAATGGTGGAATATGATTTGATCTAAGACTGATGCTTTGGGATAAGAGACGTGAAAATATCCTAATGAAGCTCAGAATATCTTTCATGCTTTCTGTGTTGCTTAATGGAAATGTTCTCTTGTCAGCTTCCCTGGCATTGTTCTGTTCACTCCTTCTTCCTTGCTTTCTCTTGCTATCCTGTCTCACCATTTAGATTATGTGGGGAAGTAGCAAAGTATGCAGGACATAAGTTGCCCTGGCACATTTGTAGCTTCATGCCAGAGAAGTAACTATCTGTGTAATATTTTAAAAACCTCGAGGCAGCCAGAGAAGGCTTTAGCTTCAGCCTTCTTTTTATTGTGTAATGTCCTCTTCAGTGGAGGGTCTCTATGCACATCCTGTAAGGGGAAAGAAAAGAGCAGATACAAACTAAAATTGTTCTTCATGAAATATGAACATCTTAAATGTGACAGGGTAGAGATCCTTCTTATACACTGTGAATACTCAGAGAGTAGTGTGGGAACTGTAATTATGTTTCAGTTTGGGGCATGTACAGGCTCTTCCATACTATTTCCATTGCATAGTTTTTCACATTTAATCAGTCATAATATTCCCAGCAGGCTGCTCTGTTCACACTCACTCAGCTCTGGCTCAACTCATTTCTAACTCAGCAGGAAATGTCCTCACCACCACGATGTTAGGCAGTTGCTTGTGAAAGTTTGTTTGCTACCTCACTTCATTATTCACCTCAAAGTCTTCCATTGTTATGCTCTAGGTACAAATGATATTTACTTGTATGAAATAAATCATAGTGTCTCCTTGCTTCCTGTGGTGAGCTTAAGGTTGTGCATAATTTTAGTTTTGCTTATCTTGGTATATCTGAAATCTTTCTGTCCTCCCTGTATTTTTCCATATTTTTTAGGTTCCTAGCTGTATCTTTCACCAGGATGTTGATGATCGGGCCAAAGTGAAAATACTTGCTTTGCTAGAGACCTGGAGATGCTCCCGTGTCTTAGTTCTGTAGAGTTCACATTCTTATTTCACATGAACAAAAATAGTGATCAATCTCTATTTTGTACACAATAGCACACTCTAGTGTGTATATTAATTAGCCATTATGGACTGATTCTCATACTGTTTACCTCAATTTCTCATTGATTTCATTTTGTTGCATTCAGTTGTACTATTTTTTCTCTGTACTTGGGTGAATTGAAGAGAATATTTCTATCTTCAAATAATAAATTTATATCTTCAGTTTCTTAACAGAATCATTATGATGCTAAATGTTATTTGTAATTTTTTTTAATGATGCTCTTTAAGAAGGGTTGATTTTATGGAGACAAAAATCTCAATGCAATGGAGTTCACTATGAAGAGCGTTAATGATGTAATTGTGTAAAACAAAGCTGTGTAAGATCGATTTGAAATTTGTCTTCTACTTCAGTTAACTGCAGGGAGCTATAGTTGTTGCATGAATACAGAAATTAAGAGGGAAGAGAGTGCATTACTTCTGAGATCCTGGCTCAGAGTGGCAGCTACCTCTGAAGGTGCCACAGCCTTACAGAAGACAGGCAGTCAGCAGAAACTCAGATAACTGCCTCAAACACTTCCTGCAGGAACAGAATTCTTTACAGGTGTTACAGGAATGCCTTGGTGTCAATCTTCAACTTGTGTTACCAGTTCACATTGAGGACAATGCCCTGAACAAGTCACTGGTTCCGAAAAACTTGAGGAATTACAAGAGGGCAAATGGCACTTTTTTTCTGTGTTTTGCTTTCCTAGTAATGTGAATGAGAGGCACTGTGCTTTCTACCAGAATGACGTCTTGCTTCCTCAGTCAAAACAATTGGATTTTTTCAACCTGTATTACATCAGAGTTTGAATGATTTGTTTTGTCAATGATACATGATTGCATTACAATGAGATTAAAATTACGTACCCACATGTTGTGTGTTGTTGTCTGATGTAGTACTTAATGTACACAGCAAAATATTTCCATCTTCAATTATTCTTCTACTTAGCAGTTGTTCTTGCTGGGCTTCACAAAAGCCCACAGTTTCATTGAAGAAAATCCAAATGTCTCCTTATATTTGGGCCAGAGGTAGGAAGATTGTGTAGCTGGAGTTTCCTACTTTTTGCTAAGATGACTCTTTCAGGAGAAAGGAATTGAGTGGCAGAGCAGAAGTCTCTAGTTAAATACAGTTACAGACTGATTAATCAATTTTTAATGATATTACATGCTTTGTTAGACACTAGGTTTTGCTTATTCCAAACACACAGGTCTTACGAAGCATAGAATTGTGTTAATTAATTTCAACTTTATTATGGCCCAAAAAGCAAAAAAATTATATAGTGTAAGTTGTGTATGGTTTTGTCCTATGATCACTGCAAAGGAACATTTATGATTAATGTGTTTCTGCTTTCTGCATGAAGAAAATCCAATAATTTAAATCCAAGATGATTTAAAGCAACTTCATCCTGCCATATGAGCTGATAAAAGAAAAGACCCTGAAGCAAAGAACAAGGAGGGAGGGAATGTTTTTCATCCTCTTGCTAATTGGTGATTGGAAAAATTGGTGCTTCTCACTGATAAGTAGGAAATGCTGGTGAGAATCCAATGAGGTGTTCACATTGCAGACTTAGCAATCTATTAGGTAAAGGAAAAAATGCTACAATGTTTCTATCCAGGTTCCTTTTACATAACTGTGCAGAAAATAAAAAGTGAACGATGCAGCTTTGTTTGAAAAATCTATTTAGGATTTCTTTTGCAAGAAGTCTTTCCCAGGAATCTTAAGAATAAAACAAAATATTAAAGAAGAGCCACATAATGAGTAGGAGAAAGGTGTGCATTTCTGAAGAAACTCAATCTGATTCTACTTCATCTCAACATTGTAATTGGTAGAGGCAGTAAGTAACATTTCCTAAGAAGGTGATTTGGAAGTCCTGCCATCCACAGGTATACCAAGAAACAAAGAGACTTCTAAAAAAAAAAAAAATTGGAGATCCATTTAGAATCATCTGGGATCTATCAAGAAACAAAACAAGTTTAATACTGAGACCTAGTTGAATTTAGCATATATATATATTCATATACATTGTATATAATATCTAAAGGATCAAGCTGTGTGCATTTCTTCATCAAAGATACCAAAACTGAGGAAAATTGTTATGTCAGGTGCCTATGTTGTATATAACGTTTTCTGTATTTTTGTACAGGAAAAGCATAAGCGGGAGTTAGAAGACATGAGAAAAGCTGGACACGAAGCCTTAACTATTATTGTTGAAGAATTCAAGGTAAATGAATTGCCAAGCTAACAATTTCCAAATGATGTTATTATAATAGTGAATAGGATGGTTGCCTGCAGTGCACAATTATTAGTACTGCTTGTGCTGATTGCTCGACCTCTCTCACTGCCTTTTCTGTTGCTTTCAATTTAGTTTGTTTGGTCTGAAATTTTGCATGACATGTTTTCCCAGTCTGCACTTTGGAAAACTTCAGATAAAGTTGGTTAGCCATTTTCAGTAAGGAAACTTAAAACCCAAAGTTCTCAGTCAGTTGTGGTAAACTTTGGGTTGGATTGTTTATCACAAATCCACATTTTGGACTTCTTCAGTCTCCAGAGCTGCACTTGCAAGAAAGCAGCATCACAGAGCAGTTCAGCAGGTTTTTTATCTACACAGCACTAGGGAAGGAGTTATGGGTGAAATAAAGCTGAATCCGTAGCTTTTCTTTCATGCTGTTTTAGTTCCTGTCAGCTTGTAAGTTGAAAGAACTGGATGTTACAATGGAGCATAAATCTGTGTCTTTTGTTCTGTTATGGAAACTATTAAAAAATGCACAAAGGACAAAACTGAATCAAGTTAGGAGGAGAAGGTAAAGTGAAGAATTAAAATTAGACTTAAAATGGATCTGGCAGGAGGAAAACTGATAATGGGAAATTGAAATGAAGGCTAAGTTTTGAAAATAAAAAGGGAAATTTAAGATCTGATAGGCAACTGTGAGATGAGGACACAAATCTGAAAATGTAGTTAGTGAAGGGGAACTTCAGATTTTAACTGCTTGGTAGCAGTAATTTGTAACCAAAGAATGATCTCGCATGGAGGGCAGGAAGATTTAGTGGTGGGCTTGGCAGTGCTGGGTTAGGGGTTGGACTCAATGATTTTAGAGATCATTTCCAATATTAATGATTTTATGATAATAAGAAAGTCTTTTAATAATTTTGCTTGTAAGTAGTGTTCTAGCTAATATTGAAATTGGCTCTCTGTAGAAATGTGTTTGTCTCCTTCAATATAACTTATACTAATTTCATTCCGAATCTATCCAGAAAAAAGTTTCTAAAGTTTCAATTCCTGAGAAAACTTAAACATGGCCACTGGTGGTGTCCCACTTCTCCTTGCCTTGCTCGTTTCACTTCTAGGGGAGAATTATCTTGCTTCTCTTCCCTTAATTCTTTGAGGCCCCCTTTGCCTTGGAAGTTCTCAAAAGGGAATCCTATGTGGAGTGTGCACCTTTGCATGTACCACTGAACATCTTCAGTGGCAAGAAGATATTTTTGGTTTTTTCTAGATGCATGTAGAATATCTTTTCCTATGTGAATTACATTTTGAAAAAGCTTGTGGGCTTTTGGTAATTGCTGCCAAATGTTTCCTTCTTTTTAGTTCTGAAAATATAAGCAAATTGTGAAATCCAACAATTTTATAGTGTTGAATGAAAGTTTTGAATGTATTCAAGATGTAATTTTTCACCATTTTAATTGATTTGTGTGAAGTAAAGGGGAACTCTGCATGGGTTATATTGACCCTTTAAAGGAATAATTTCTTCCTGTGTAGTTTGGTAGAGAGATACATTTATGTGCCATAATAATTTTAGAAAGCTGTTTCACCAGTCAGCAGCAGCTGGGTAGATCTGGTATGCCTTCTGGAAAATAAGATTTATGTTTATCAGTTTCAGTGATTTGCACAGAAGATTAGGGAGTTAATTGAACCCTGTGTTTCATTGTTTATATTTAGTGTATTATTTCTCATAGAATGTTTATATCCAAATTACATAAAGTCACTCTTTAATACCAGGGAGCCATGACATGAAGATACCTCATACAAGTCTTCCTGTTGCCTCGTGTGGTTAGTTGACGACTCTGATGAGAAATAATATCAGATATGCCGAGCTCTGAGTAAATAGCTGCAATCAACCCTGTCTGCAAACATGAGGTGACTTATTCATCAGGGTAGCAAAAACATTCAAAAAAGATTGCTAGGTTTAAAAAACCCAAGCATTTTTTGGCTGGTTGTTTACGCTTTAATACCTTTTCTATAACTCTTCGCCATGTACTTAAAATAAAAAAGTAACACTGAATCATCAGGGAATTCAGTGGAGGCAAAAACTGTTCTGCAGCTTTGTTTGAGAAAATTATCTCATAGATTCTTTTAAAATGTTAATTCATTGTTAATATTTCAATATGGAACACGGCTAAGATTGGGTTTTTTCCTTAAGTAAATTAGTCAAATGTGGTTTTGTAATTATAGAAGTAGTGTCTTACGTTCTTGGGGCTTTTTAACTCAGATCCTTAGGAATTTATTCTATTTTTCAGATATGGTGGCAATTAGTTAGATAACCAAATAAGGGTTCCTACACATAGCATTTGTTTAGGAATGTAAAGTAAATCTGATTAGTCCTTTTAGTGAAAGACAGAATCTTGAGATTCATTAACTCTTTTAATTTACTTTTTATTAGCCAGACTTAATTTTGTGCTGAAATATGTCTTCTTTAAGATTTAGACTGTGTTACTCTAGTACATATCATTTATATGCAGAAGTAATTTCCATTCTCAGTAGGTTTTTTTGTAAGTACTATCTAATTAATCCCCAAATTACCTTGAGTGCAGAAATTCACCTAAACAAGTCTATGAGTTGTTTAAAAGGCATGGGAAGGAAAATCTTGTTTGCGATAAGAACAGGCTTATTTTGCATTCCTGGGGGTTTGATAAAGTGAATTGATGCAGGTTATTCCAATCAGGGGATTGCTCAGGCCCTAAATTAGGTTGTGTGGCAGTCAGGAGTGTTGGAATTCTGACTAAGCCTCTCTGAAACCAGTCAATTATAATTTTGTGGCTCTGCTTCAAGCAGAGCCATAGCACAACTTATAATGCCCAACATTGCTTGTTTAAGGATAGCTTGTAAAAATAGGAGCAATTCATCCTGAGCCCCAGCAAATAATCCCCAGAATGCTTCAAAACCCAAATCCTGTAACTTAGGTATTGAAACCTTGAGTGGAATAACAGTGGAAGACAGTTGAATGACTTGTCTTTTCTGTATTCCTGGCTTAGGCAGGTGTTATTGTTGGTGGATTTGTGAACATGCCTTCCTTCTGGTTTACAGAGGAAAAGAGAGTTGCCATTTTGTGGCTTATGTGTACAAGGCTGCCAAGTTGGTAACCAGAAAATCACAGTTTTCTTCCATTCAGAATTAATTCCACTCCTTGCAGATGTACTGCAGCAGACCTCTATTGTTGATGTATCTTCTATACCTCCAAATGGCTTACACTTCCTTCTTGTCCCTTTCCTGTACTTTGGGGACTTATTTGTTGTTAATGGGACAGTATTTCTCCACATGGATCTTTCACTAGTGTGGTATCCCTGGGCAGACAGGTACTCAAGTTTGAGGACAAACCCTCTTAATTCCTACTCCTGACTGGTCCTTCTTAATATGGCAGCAGCACTGAAAGTGCAGCTTACACGAGAAGACAAATACTGAACGACCTAGTTTCAAGGACCTGCATATAACAAAGCCCTTGAAATTAAATTCAGTTGACTTTGGAATGTTCGTTGTTGAATATGTTGGGAACTCCATTAATAGAGACCATTAGATGCTTTGTAGCACAAACCCTCAAAAATCTTGGCCATTGTTAAGCATCTCACATTCTAATCTTCCTTGCAACAAATAAACCATCCACAACACAGTCATAAAATTTGTATTAAAAACCACAGGAAAGCAAATTAAAAATTAACTCAGTGTTCTGTGTAGGCCAAGTTTCCTCTTCTCATGTTTACCTAATTTTGTTTAATTTCTGTCTTTCATGTCATTGTTGTTTTAAACTTTTATCCCTGGTAATTAACCATGGTAAAGAAAAGTAAATGTAGATCTTGGAAGTTATGCTTGTGGGATCACATCACATCTTAAGATACCACATGCAACATAAGAATTTCTTCTGTGCTTGTTTAGTCAAGCTTGTGTTCTGAAATTGTCACAGTTCTGTAAATAGATGAGTTAATAGTTTTAATCTGTTTTTTTTTCTCATCATATAAAATATCCTCTGATGTAAGCTTTAAAGAATATAAGGTTACAGGCAGGTGTATTTATTTGATGGATTTTATTTCCTTAGATTGTTTTATGCAATTAATAGTGTTCTGAAAGACAGCCTACATGAATCAGATGCATGTCCCTTTTATAGAAATGAACTTCAAAGTGTGAAGTTTTTCCCATCCCTTGCTGCAGTAAGAGTTTTGTCCATCGGTTTTCAATGAAAGGTGGTGGGATGTTTTCAGATTTTCTGAATGTAGGAGCAGACAGATTTTCAAAGCATGGAATGTGTAGAAGCCATCAGATTATCTTTCAAAAATATTTGTGTCAATAATACACCTCCGAACTGAAAGGTTACCCTCTAACAAACAAAGGAAATTTTAAAGGATTTCATTACAAAAGAAGTTAATCTAGAATCAGGATATCTTTTTTTAGACACAGTTTATCCCTAGTGAGGGAAAGCTCTGAAATGTGGCCAGTTCTCAACTCTTTAAAATATCAGCTTAGCTTATTAAGTTTCCAAGTTGACATCCTGGCTCAGAAAAGCCTGACACATGAATAAAAGGACAAATCCAAAATTGTTGCAAGGGCTTGTATTTCATTTCCAACTTCTATGCTTGTTCATGTGCAAGTCACACTAGAATTCAAGTGAGCCTGGAATATAAAACAACTTTGTTTTTTCTCATGGAGAGCTGATGGCTGGAAGAGATTCCTTGGGATTTTGCATTATAAGAGTGGTTCTGTGCAACAGTGATGCTACCATGGAAGTATCTCTGCAGAATTCCCATAAAATCAAGGTGAAATCAAGTCTCATCGTTTCAAAGGCCTGGCTATCAAAAATGTTTTATCATCTATTAAATGACCTTTACATTTTGAAAGCAATTATAAAAATTGCAAGGAATCTCTCCCTCCCCTTCTAGTAAGGATGAATTGTGTATGTGCTTCTGACCATAGAATAATAAATACAGTGTTGAATATTATAAAAATAGGAAGGTTAATAGAAGATTAAGAGTTAGTTTGCAGTTTGTTTCTGGCAGGAGTCTGTGAGAACAGTTTTTTGTGGAAAATAAATCCTTTACACTCGCATAAAACTGAGCTACCTAGATAAACCCAGCAAAGTATTCAAATCTTTAAGTTGTTGATCCTTACTGGTATGGATCAACATAATTTCAACTACAAGCAGTTGGATATGAAGCTGATTTTTTTTATATCACTGCAAAAAATACATTACCCGTTTGTTGTATTTGATCCCCCATATTCCACAGCACCTAAATGGACATATTTCATTTTTACTAAAATGGCAGACTCACCTGAAAATAACCCAGTCATGAAAATGTGCAGTATTTTGGGCTGAAGTAAGTTGAATTCTTTTGAAATATACATTTTCAGAAACCTTTAAATAGTTTTATTTGTATCATCTGTGTCTTAGATAATAGCTGAATTAAAACACAACTAGTCAAATACTGCATTTTATTGAGTTAATGTATCTTTTCCATGGGTCAGGAAAGAATTTGCATTGTGTCCTTTGCTCTGCTTTATCATTCAGCAATTGGTTAATTGCATTGCACCCTTAAGTTAAGTAGTAGAAAGTAATTAAATGGTGGAGACAGGATGCTGAATTAGATGAATCATTGCCTAATGCTATAAAGCTTAAAAATTCAGAAGTAGTATTGCTGTATTTAATACAGTTCACATGTTTGAAGTAGTGTGGTAACTTCTCATTAGTAACTTCTATTTTTAAAGATGACTTGTTTTGGTCATCCTGACTCAGCAATTTTGAAGTAAAGAGGTTTGATGTACTGGCTTCCATTTAGCTACTTGAACGAGCCAATGGTCCTTGAGCAGGATATTCTTTTGGATTGAACTAAGGCTTTTGATACAGTGCTTTTAAGAAACATTCTAAAACATAACTCAGCAACGTGTACACCATGATTTGTATTTCATGCTGTTACATATGAATAGGTTTAACGTTTTCAAACAATGCTATGCATCTCGTAAGCCTGTGTTTTGCATGGGTCAGAATTGCTTTTAATTTTTTTTTTTTTTTCAGAATAGATAGGAGAGGATAATGAGCTCTGCTTAGTTTTTCCTGTTGCCTTTATTCTGACTAGCTTTTTTCCTATAATAAAAAGAGGGAGTTGAAAGAAAGAGGTTTGGCAATTTGTTACTCTTTAGGAAGAATTTGGGGTAACAGTCTGTATTTTGGCTATTTAATTCAAGAGGGTTTCTCCTAGATTCTAGCTTCTGGCTATACAATAAATCTTGTCTGGGCAAGTAGCTGTGGTTTCTATTGCCAGTAGAATGAGCAGATTAGGTTTGTATTAAAAATAGGCTGGGGTGTCTGTGTTACACTTTTGCCAAAACTGTAGTTATTGCACTTTTGCCTTTTTGAGTATGAGGAGAAATGTTAGAGATAATCTGGTAGTCAGTACATAACACACTGTAGAAATACAGGATGAAGTGTTGTGTTCATTTGTGGTTTTAAGCTTTTCTTCTCATGTTGGGCACAGTGCAATTTTTCAGGCCCTGGTCTGTATGCAGGAATGCCGTTCTCCAGGATTCCCACCACACAGGCAGTGTGCTGTCAGTTCCAGGACCACTGGAATACTCTGACCAGTGCTAAAGCATATAATAGATGTGTATTCCCTTAAGAACCCCCCAGGGTGATCATGGATCTTATTATGAAATTTGGATTTACTTTCAGCTTAAGGTCTTCTAAAATTATTCCAATGTATGAAACTTAAAGCTTAGTTCTTTATCTGAGCTCAAACAGAGTTTTAGAATAATTTAGTTTACTTAGTTTAACTTAAGAATGTTTTGTACAGTTATTTAGATGTGTGAAGATTTTTATAATGGTTTGAGGAAATAATGTTTTTTCTGTGATTTTTATGATGCATCATATATCAAACTAAAATTAAGATTCTATAGAGACTTAAGGGATTTCAGCCTCTTTGTTCTGTCAGAAGCCACCTCGATGTTTTAGTATTGAAGGAAATGCAGGATCAATTCTCTGACAGTTTTTTTGGGTTAGTAGAGAGATCACAAAGTGGGGAAGAAGCCAGGTTGGATGGAGCTCCTCCACCTTGTCTAGTGGAAGGTGTCCCTGCCTATAGCAGGGAGTTGGAACTACATGATCTTTAAGGTCCCTTCCAACCCTTAAAATCCTATGATCCTGTGACCCTTCCCAACCAGTGTCAAGAAAGTTCATTGCACAATATGTAGAAGGAAAAATTAATTAGCAAGAGCACTCATACTGAAATCCTACCCTTGACTTCATGCAACAGATGCCATAGGCTACATTCTGCTGTAACCTTATTGAAATGATTAAATCAAAAGGAGACTGTTTCAAGAATGCCTGTTTGGTATTAGATCACTGGCCATAGATTTATGAAAGATCAGCCCAGCAGCATAATTAATAACTCCTCCTTAACTAATTAGGGAAGAAAGTCCTGTTTCAGCAGTGATAAGAGAATTTGCCCAGAATAGCAATTAATCAAAAGACTTTTAGTGTCATTGTAGTTGTAACTATAAGATTAGAGGTACTGATCATCAAGTAGCCAAATGTGTGTTTCAGTTTAGCAAATGAGCTAATTGGTAAATGAAATTTTTGTAAATTATTTAATTTGAGTAGTTGATTATCTTGAAATTTACTAGAGCTTTGGATGGATACCACACGTCTGTGCTATATTTCTGCAGTATTGTTCTACACAGGGAGATTTTTCTCTCTTTCTCCTTATTTGGCCAACTAGTGGAACAGTCAAATACAGCATCAGCCCTGTGGTACTATTTAAACTGGGCTAATAGTGTGTATGACAGAAAAGGAAGGTTTGCTGTTTCCAAATGTGCAATTTTATGTATTTTCTAAAGAAAAATATTAATAATAAATTAATTACAAAAATTTAACAGCCTCTACATGACATCCAATGAATAATAATTATTTCCTTGAAAACTGAAAGGTCTTTATACCATTTAATAAAATTTTAACAGTTGCCAGTGAAATATGCAAAGTGCATAAGGTGACTCAACCTTTGGCATGAGCAAGAAACTGTCTGAGAAATGCCATGAAAGCTTAATGACCATTCTCTTACTGTGTTCCCTAAGAATAGAATTATTTTACTTTCTTTTGTACCAGTTACATGAAACATTTATTGCTACAATAGTTTAGGCAAAAAAAAAAAGGAACTCAAACCCCATTATCCAGGTTTAATTTTTGCCAGTGATACGTGGCTATTCTAATTTATACAGAGTATAAAATTTCATGTACAGAGGTTACACTTCTTTGGAAGTTCAGTTTTTCTGAGTGCTTGAATTTCTATGAATAAAATAATTTAATTTAGTTAGAAGTAAATTGGCTTTTTTGAAAGTAAACTTACGGTTTGCTAAATCCCCTGCAAACACCAGTAAATGTATCCTTGCACTTTGATTCAGCACAAGTTTTAACATTTTTAATCACTGAAATTTTGCTGAGAACTGCTACCATGCTACAGCACTACTGAAAAACAGCGATTTTGGCATAAGAGGATAGTTAGTGGAAAATTTGGAAAGGTAATTCAAAAATTGTCAGAAGATTTTATCTTTTTTATACATTCTTGGGTTTTTTTTAAAGTATTCAAAATTTTATTTGATGTGTGTGTTACATTCCATGAAGTAAACATATCTCTAAAATAAAGATTGTTTGAAAGATGGGGTTTTTTTTTCTTTGTCTGCATTTGGGCCAAAGGTCTGTTTTCTGTAAAAATCATGTCTGTTTTAACTTACCCAGTCATTTTGACTACTTCAGTATATTGATTGCTAGTTAAGAATAGTTTGGTACATTTTGTATAAATAGCCCGATGAATATTTGGAAAGTGGCATAAAGACTTTATATTATCAAGGAAAAAAGCTTAAATCACATGAACCGAGTAAATGTTTAGCTACCATCATTGTCTAAGGAAACCTGAGCATAATTCTCCAAGTGATAACTTTTTTTTTTTCACGTATCTTCAAGTCCTTTGTTTCTCTTTCTGCATTCAGATACTGGAGGTTCTGCAGGGCTTAGCCAAGCGTGTGTGAGTTCAGGAGTGTGCACAGACACACTCACAACTCCTGCTCCCATCAGCTGTTTGCTACTGCCTTGGTGCTTTGACTTTCCACACTTTGACTTCCACTGCTTCACATTCAAGTGTGAACATCCTGGGGGGGGCATTCTTTTATGTTTCATGTTACTCAGAATTTCCATCTGCTTTTACTTGACTTGTGGTTGTGAAGATCATGCTTGGCCCATGGGACCTTGCACAGTGCCGAGAGGATGTGGAGTTTTGTCAGCCAGAGAAATATGTCTGGCTTTTTTTTTTTTTTTCCCCCTCCTCTTCAGCAGCTTTCATATTCTCCTCTTCTTGTGTGGTCTCACTAAACTGAGTATATTTAACAGAAATTCTCTCTATCTTCTGTATGCTGCTGTCTTTTAGGCAGACTGTATAAGAAATCTGAGATCCAAAAAATGTTAGTCATGACTGAAAACAAGGTAGTGTTACATAGAAAGGTACTTTAATCGTTGCACATTCCAAATTTATAACAGCATTCCACATTCTGGTTGTAGATGAGTCTTAGTGGATCTGCAGATGCCAGTATATTGGTATATCTTTGTTGAGTATTTTGTGCCTTTTTTTTTGCAGGCACTGCTGCAATCTACAGTTCAGCAGCAAGAAGCAGCTATTGAAAAGCAGTATATATTAACCATTGAAAAGCATTCTCACAAATGTGAAGAGCTCCTTGATGCTCAGGTATGGATGTGCACATGCAAGAATTTCCATGATTTTTTTTTAGTTTCAACTCTTTCCTGTTTGAAAAAAGATTAATATATATGATCTCCAGAGAATATGATCCACCCCTCACCTTGTTTCCTCAGCATACCACTAAACACAGGTATTTAAAAATGCTAAATAAATAAAGACTTTTCATCTGTTGGGATTGAAAATGTTCTATAGCACTGGAGCCTGCTTAGAAATAGCTTCAAGGAGAGTGTAGCAGTGAGAAAAAGCCTCAGAGCAACTTAATAATTACTTCTCAATAGCTGTCATTTCCTGTGGTCTTGGAGACACCCTTCAATTATTTTTAAATTATGTAGTAAAATGGAGAACTTGATTGTGTGGGATTTGCATGAATTTTTGTTGCAAATTTTGAGATGGTTCTTAGATGGTAGACAAAAACATGTGCTGTCCACACCTATTTTTATTTCATAGAAATTTTACCTAAAAATAAAAAGCTGTGAGGAGTTATATAATATCCGTATATATATATATATATATATATATATATATATGGCTATATACACATTAATGATGTAAATTGGCTCATTTAGCATGACTTGAGTGAAAGTCACACACTGCACAGGAAGTATTTGAGATCAGAGAAATTAGTGATGAGGATCTGAACAGTGTCAACCTGGTTTGTTATGAATAAGATCTTGGTTTGACTGAAGTACAGCTCTTGAATCAAAATAATACTGCCCATGAGCATGGAACTTTAAAAACCAAGAAGTTAGATTGTTAATAGCCCCCTGGAGTCGTTTATATTGCATCTAAGTTACCTTTTAAGTACTGTTAGCAACAATTCTGCAAAAAGTACAAAGGATAATATTTTTTTACATTTTCGTGGAGTATCTTAGACCTAAATACATCAAAGGTCCCCTTGAAGGACTCCAACATTTCCAGAAGTGTTTTATGACCATTTGACTGTTCTGACCATATAAATTAACACCTAGTGCAAATTTGTGTTAAATATATAAGCATCTATGTAAACAGTATGGAGGAAAGATGTAATAATGTGGAGAAATTGATTGCATCATGAGTGAGGCTGTTGCACAGAATTGCAATTATTTAACACTTGCTATAAAGCTCTAAGAGCAAGTAAAAATGAATTTTAAAACAAAAGTTTTGTGGTTTTGAAGTGAACATGTTTGCTAAGTTGATATCACTTTCTGACTGTTAAAAAGGAATGAACCTCATGAAATACAGAAATGTGATAGGAAGATTTTTTGAGATCATTCTTACAGACTGAGCAATAACTTGCACGTGTGATCAGTCAGATTTGCATCAGAGCCCCACAAATGGGACCAAAGTGTGGAAATATGTTAAAGAGGTTCAGATTTACCTGGGAAGAACCTAACAATGTAAAGAACTGGTCATAGGACAGGAGAGTGGTTATGAGCAAACACAGTGCCCAGTTCACATCATGTCTGCATTTAACACCCCCTTTGCATCCCCAGAAAAAGTGTAAATTTTGTTCACTAACTTCCAAGTCATTTCTCATTCAGTACAATCGAGGTTTTTCACCTCTAATATACAGCTGGGTTTTTGAAGCCTAATCAAATAGACAAGTGTGGGTGCTTGTGGTTGAGCTATCAGGTTTAATTAAATATGATTTATCCTGGCAGATTTTATTCACTTGCAAAAATTTGTTGAAAGATCTGAGAAATGAGTGGTATGGTTTTTATTCTTTTTGAACACATGTATTCTTAAATGTATGTTTTCATGTTAATTTTTACACTTCTTTTCCTTCAAATGATTTTGTTATGTTCTAACAGTTGAGTTAGATGAAATTACTGCTGATATTTATACACAGATTTCATTGCTGTTTTGTGTTATGGGATTGTACATGCATAGCCACTTTTACATGGAGATTTATGAGTGTTTGTATCACTATAAAGAATGATTTTGTTGCAGGAGTAATCAGACAGTGCAAGTATACACAACACAAAAAAGCTTTTTTTTTTTGTTCCCTGCTAATATTCTTGCCTTGCAAGCAGTATTTTGCCTTCAAAGTTTTAAGTCTGTGTAAAACTGTCAGACCACATGGGGTTTTGTGCTCATTTTCTATTCTTTTTTAATTTTCTGCTGTTTTATTTCCAATTCCACACAATCAAGATTCTCTCATGAAAATCTTTCTCATGCTTTCCACTTACTCCTGTTTCCCCCCTAAATTCCCATGCCCCTCCCTCACAAAAGTGTCTTTGAGATGGAGGAAAGGCAGTTTTTCTGATTGTCTTTAACCTTTTGTTAGAGTTTATTAAAGTTTCTGATTTTAGACTTAGTTTTATCAGGTGGTGATGCAGGTTAAAATCCTGTCCAGAGAGGTGCGTCCTGCTCATAACCTTCAGTCTGCAAGACTGCATTTTCCAGGATGGAGAAAGAAATGAGAGACTTCATTGCATGGTCCTATCCCAGTTTTCAGCTGGAATAATACCTGCAGTTGCTATTTGATTAGTATGTGTCAGGCTGGTCAGCAAACTGGCTGGTTGTAGGAAGCATCCTGGGTGATGATCACTGGAATGGTTCCTTCCCAGGTGACAGCCTCTAGGGCTGCTGGTTTTTCCAAGGAAATACACTCCCATAGAAAAAGTGATGTGGGGAGCAGGAGAGGGGGAGATTCTGCCCCTCTGCCCTGCTCTGCTGAGACCCCCCCTGCCCTGCAGAGCTCCTCCAGCCCTGGGATCACAGCACAGGAAGGACAGGGAGCTGCTGGAGCCAGGACAGAGCAGGGACACCAAGGGATCAGAGGGATGGAGCAGCTCTGCTGGGAGGAAAGCCTCAGGGAATTGAGATTGTTCAGCCTGGAGAGGAGAAGGCTTTGGGGTGACCTCACTGTGGCCTTCCAGTGCCTGAAGGGAGCCCACAGGAAAGATGGAGAGAGACTCTTGACAAGGGCCTGGGGTGACAGGACAAGGGGCAATGGCTTCACACTGACACAGAGCAGGGTTAGATTGGATATTGGGAAGAAATTGTTCCCTGTGAGGGTGGTGAGGCCCTGGCACAGGTTTCCCAGAGAAGCTGTGGCTGCCCCATCCCTGGCAGTGTCCCAGGTCAGGCTGGATGGGGCTCTGAGCAATCTGGGATAGTGGAAGGTGTCCCTGCCCATGGCAGGGAGTTGGAACTGGATGACCTCCAAAGTCCCTTCCAACCCAAACCATTCTGTGATTCCATGATGTCAACATTTCAAAAAGCAAACCGGGCATTCTTGTGGTACATTCAGGGGCACCAGTGTCATGGTGTCCTCCATCAATGAACAGGACAAAGAGAACTATTTTTCACTGTGCCAGAAATCAGTCATGTCATCTACTAAATATTTGGGAAAACTATGCTTGTCAGATTTACTTTTCTAGAATTTGATGATATCAGAAAATGCCAGCAGAAATCATATCAGTTCTTTACAAGTTCAAAAATCACGAATTTCATCCTTGTCTTTTTCTGAGACACAAACCTTTGATGTTGCCTTCTGAAAATGAACACCAGCTTGCAGTTTTGCTCATGTGCTGTGTGAAAATACATGCTGAAAAACATAATCAACAAACTTTTGAATAGATTTTTTTTGAATACTCAGAATTACTGAATATTACTCACTAATTTTACTATTCAATAGTAAAGCAATTCTATTACTTGAATTGCTATTACTATGCAATCAAATATTATCACTATTCAATCAAATCAGGTGGTGTTAAAATGTGCCTATAGCGAGGTACATTTTTTTATTATTCTTGAAACACTCAATGATCTGTGTATTAAGATAAAATAAAATCTTAAATATCTACAGCAGTTATTTTTCATGATGATTTTATGTGTGTGACACAATTCTGTCTCACATTTGTAGATGCAACAGCATCTAAGACAACTAGAGTTACCCCCATGTCTTTAATGCTTTTTCCACTCTATCATGATGTTGGCTGTCATTTGTATGATAAATAGTAGTTAAAAAATCTGTTGCAGTTGTCTTTTGACAACTGCTAAAATGTTGAATGTGGGAAGTCCTTGTCTTTTACAGTGATTGTTTGTATGCCAGGGAAAATGTTTACTTCAATCAGAAACTTAATTTCACAGGAGATATAATTTTCTTTGATTTCATATTAGTGCCTTTATATCTTCTCAAAATTTGCCTCTAATAATGCTTATTTTATGAACTTTGGTTATGTTTTTCTGCTCTTGTTAACAAAAGAGGCTCTGTGTTTTTCCCATCTGATGGTAGTAATTGTAAAATTTTTTTAATGCCTGATCTTGAAGGGACTATATGCAAAATAGATTCTGAGAGTCTTGTGAATATTTGCCTTTTTAGGAGACTGCAATTTTTGCAGTGAGAGTAGCAATCCTGAAGACTTGCAGACTGAAAATACGAACCCTGCAGTGGACATAACCTTTCTGGTTCAATAATTCCAAGTATGATAGGTTTGGAAATTATTTCGAGTACTTACCATGTTCCCTTCTTCGGGCATTTCCTCTCAATTCCCAGAAATCTTGTAGTTTGCTGCTGTAGAAATATTTGTTTATTCATTCCCTTCAAAAACAAGTACTTCCAATCAGTCCTTCCTGTGACATTTTCATGTAATTCACCTTCACATAATTCATCTAGTTGTGTCTTTTCAGGTCTGCTGCTCTTATGCCAAGAGCAAAGTTACACTTTCTCAGAACTTACAAAAAAACCAAGGATTGATTAAAATCCTGTGGCAAATTTGAGAAATTTATTCCTGAATTCCTGATACCTCCTTCATTTCCATGTATATAGAGAGAATCAAAATGAAAAGGGAGAGAATCAGCTTTTCCTGTGCTGGGATGGCTTTTTGTTTGTTTGCTTGCTTGTTTTTCCTGAATTCTGACATTTTTTTCAGGATTTATCTTGCCTGAGCAGGGAAGTGGGACCAGATGACCCACTGTGGTCCCCTCCAGCTTGACCCATTCTGTGATTCTGCCATTCCATGAAAAAATCTGACAACAGAAATAACTGTTTGGTGGTGCTT